TAAGAAATTATGAGTTTTAGCTAGGTGAACTATAAATGACAAGAATTAATAAATTACATCACGTATATTGGATTATCAATTAATTAGAGAATCCTTTAAAATCAATAGAAGCTGAATGATTGTTTCATCCATATTTCATCCATAACGATTTCTAAGCAGTTGGATGGATATACTTACAATCTTATCATGACAGGGATCTGAAACTGTCAGGTTACACAAAGCAAAAAGAAATTATCACTGAACTAGGGCTTTTCAATTCACAGTGATGCGTTATTTCACATATTATTTCGCATATTTTGTTACCTTAATCGACTGGTCTTGGATTTTTGACATTTGAAAGGTTTTCCAATGGTTCTCTAACTGATTTCAGCTCATGATGAAATCCTTCAACCAATCAAACAAAAAAGATCCCTACAAAAACCAATACTTGAAAATTAATCTGATGCTCACTAGTGGCTAGCCCTATTCAGACAGGTAACGCGAGGTTCTAGCCGTGACCGGTAGGATACAGCAGGTTGAAGGTGAGGCAGTAACTCATCATCGAAGAAGACATTGAGAAGTAGTCGCGCTATGTCATGAATTGGTAGAAGTTAGAATTCATGCACTGGCTGGCCATTGGATTGTGTCCCAGTGGCTTAATGGTCTACGAGATCGCTCGCCTGCCTTGTAACCAGAAGGTCTTGGGTTCGAACCCTATCGGTGTTGGGTGCGTACTGATGAAGAGTTCCAAACTAGTCTGTCGAAACAGCTGGCTGTCCAGTATTCTCTCTTGGTTTTCTAATGGTTCTCTAACTGATGTCAGCTCGTGATTAAATCCTCTAACCAATCAAACAAAAGAATCCCTACAAAAATCGATACTTGAATAATTGATTATGTAATTTATAAGATATAAGTATAAAACCTGGGCACTGTGGTAGAGTATAATTCCGTTCTGGATAAGATTTTATTTTGATAAATCACACAGTGTTATGCAGTAATATTAACTGATGACCGCGTTTCGACCACAAACTATTGCTTATAATAATATCAAGTTATATTGTCGGAACATAAGAATTCAGCTAAAGTAAGAATGGTTGACCCCGAGAAGATAAATAATTTAGAAAAAAGCTCAGCGATTGCAATGCATGCATTAACACACAACAGGGTGGGAGAGGGTTAAGATTCTAAAAGGTAATATATGTAAGTTGGGGAGAGAGATTGATTACTGAATCCTGGTTCATCGAGTCTACCTACACCAAACACATGCAACAGAAGTGACTCAATGCAAATACCGGAGATATGAAAGATATTATTACCACCAGTCAGTCAAATCAGAAGAGGATAATGAATAATCTTAAAATTCTTTTTCAATTCAAGCGCATCACAACATTCAAACGAGTTACTTATTTTGACTATAAAACCACTCGTCTTATTTCCCATCTAATTGTAATGGATGAATAACACTCGTACTATTATTTCTGAATGTACATTATCTCATATTGATTTTTATTCCAATATCTAATCGATTCCATACATGTATATAAATGAAGGAAAAAGTTGTGTGAGTAACTTGATATGATTATGAGCAGCAGTGCTCGAAACGTGGTCATCAGTTAATATTACAGTATAACCCTGTGTGATATATCAAAATAAAATCCTATCCATAATTTATAAAATAGTTCATGAAATGCATAAATCTCAGAGTAGAGTATGGAAATGATAAAACGTGTAGGCAATTACGCAACAATGTGCTAATTATGGTAAGATAATATTTCAAAAGGTTATATTGAATTAAATCAATAAGTGAGATAACACCGGATAATGTTCATAGTGAAGTTAAAAAATGATAATAAGGGAAGGATGTACAAATTGAATGAATAAAACGGAAAATAATTAGGGCAAAAGTAAGAATGAGGATTATAGTACATTAACATATAGGGATTAACAACATTAAAGATTGGCAAAAATGACTTCCGGATACCAAACGTCTGACTTTTCTGTTTCAATGGCCAAAGCTTCAACAATACAGATGAGTTGAATATGGAATGATTCGGGGGTCAGTTAAATCTCCTTCACCTTGTAGATAATTTTAAAGGAAGAGGCTATAGTGATGTAGTGACCAGTATCGACCGACTAGGTGTTTATTTGTTATTGCGCTTCTTGTAACCCCGATCCCACATCTTGGTAACCATACAGGGTAATGTTCTTGCACCCTCTTGGATAACACTCTCGTCGAATGAGCAAGATATACCTAGCTCAAGATGAGCAGGTGAATTGATAAATGCATACAGAGTTGATTTTTAAGGATTAGATTTGTTTTTACGAGTTTCACCACGGATTGATATTGGTTAGAGAATTGGGGTTCGAACCCCAGTGGGTTCGTACTGCCGATGATTCCCAAACTAGGGTGAAACAGCTGTTCAGTACTCCAGTGCTGGTTTTCAATGGTTCTCTTACTAATATCAATCCATGATCAACTCGTAAAAACAAAAGTAACCCTTACAAACCAAACTATAGTAAACAAATATATATACTTGAATATATCGAGATTTTGTAAAAGGTAATTATTTCCTAACATCTGCGGGTATCCCTTATTCAGATCATTTATAGTATAGTCAACAGTCAAATTACTCATTATTTGTTGTTTGTTTTGAAAAAATTTTCTCCTCTGCTTTCCGAGTGGAACGTCGGGCCTCAAACTTTAAGTTTTGAAGTTTAAGTAACGATTGTGTTTCTGCTGAACGAGATTGTTAGCCTCACATTCAACCTTCCACCTTTTCCCGATTCACCACACGTTTGGTGAATTTCTTGGGTGCGTTGGCTGGGAATCATACCTCAGACCGTGTTTGGCATGGCTGGTGAGCATATCTACCCTTAAACCGCCGATCAGAAATAATGATAATGATGATGGCGACAGTATTCATAGCTCAGAGGATAAACGCAAACATGTTTCTATTTCTGTCTGTAGAGTGTTTCAATCTGATTATTTTCAGCTTTTGTACAAAATAATCTTTATTTTGGTTAACATTGATCATTGTTAATGCATGTATAATGGTCCCGCCTACTCAAGATGGCCATTCAAAGTCATATCGATTAACGTAGATTCCATAATAATTTAGTTAACAGACTTATTTTTTGTTTGAATCTTTTGTTATGATTAATGGTAGTGGGGTTTACATAGATCTCCATCAGTTAGTTTGTGGAGATTTGACTCGTTTTTCAGGTTTGGTCACGGATTGAGAACCACCAGGAATTAAAGAGTACCAGACAGATGTTTCATCCTAGTTTGGGACTCATCAGGAGTACGTATGGATTAACCCTTGACCTTTTGGGTCACAAGGCAAACTCGTAGACCATTCAGCCATTGAGACCCGAATCAAGTGTCAGTCCATGAGTTCTAACTTCCTTCAATTCGTGATTTTAATGCCATAATCAGCTAATGTCTGGCCAAGGGATGAAGTTGTTTGGTGGGGTCTCGGGTGCGTACTGCCTATGAGTCCCAAGCTAGTATGTTACAGATGGCTTGTCCACTACTTCCTGCTGGTTTTCAATGATTCTCTAACTGATATCGATCCATGGTGAAGTTTTTTTTTACATATGTCTGGTTTTTTGATTTAACACTAGTAACTAGTGTGATGCGTCTAGTCCTCTGTTTGGTGCAGACTGAATTCTATCAGTCAGGTTGTAATGTGGCCACCATTCTAGGTAGCTCGCCATCACGGTGTACATAGTTTGTGATGATATTAGGTGGTTGGAGGCAATCGGCAGGAACCCTTGGACCTAGGTTTCGTGCTAGTTGGCACTCGTCAGCAAGGCGTATCAAAATATCCACTACAGTCCTACAGGAGGTCAATCGCGAGCCCGAATAGCTCAGTGGTAACGTCTCTGATTGCAGGCGGCACTGGGTGACGCGGGTTCGAATCTCAGAAGGGACATGAGTTCCTTCAAGGATGCAGATACGCCTTGCTGACTGGTGAGTGCCAACTAGCACGAAACCTTGGTCAGGCAAGGCTTCCTGTGGCCGATTGCATCCAACCACCTAATATCATCACAAAATATGTCTGGTTTGTTTGAAATCAGATCACTAATTACAATCAGTTAGAGAACCTCTGGACAGTTGTACGTCCTACACGAATTTATGATCTTGAATTACGTGACTGGACTGGTAACTGAATAGTAGAGTGACGGGTTTATACTGATAAAGAGTTCCAAATTAGGACAAGACAGCTGTTCTGTAATCTTTGGTTTTCAATGATCCTCTAAATGTTGTCAGTTCATTACGTAATCTGCAATCATCTTCTTATCACTTGATTTTCATCGATTGTCTTTCCATGTATTAATTTTCTTTTTCAAGGTTTTCAGGGATTACGATCATTTTTTTGATGATATTATTCATCGACATCATCGACACCAGGAATTAAAGAGTACCAGCAGATGTTTCGTCCTAGTTTGGGACTCATCAGAAGTACGTACCGAATCACCCCTGACCTTTTGGGTTATAAGGCAAACTTGTAGACCATTCAGTCACTGAGACCCGAATCAATTGTCGGTCGATGAGTTCTTTCTTCTTTCATTCAATTCGTGATTTTAATGCCATAATCAGCTGATGTCTGGCCAAGGGATGAAGTTGTTTTCCAATGGTTCTCTCTAACTGATATCGATCTGTACTCAAACGTGCTACAAAGATCTGATTAATTTGAAATCAGATATCACGAATTACAATCAGTTCTAGAACCAGTGTTTGCTGTACGTCCTATTTTCAGACCCTTCACCTACACGCATCTATGACCTTGAAATTATGCGGCTTGGCCGAATGGACAACAGACTGGATTCGTAATTGAATAGTAGAGTGACGGGTGCATACTGATGAAGAGTTCTAAACTAGGACAAAACATATGTCTTGTACTCTTCAGCGGTACTCTAGATGCTTTCGATTCCTTACATAATTTGCAATCATCTTCCTATCGCATAAGTCGCATCGCTAATTCTTTCCACACACATATTGATTTTGCTTTTTCAAGGTTTTCAAGGATTACGATCATTTGTTGATGATATTATTATTCATCGACATCCAATAAGTAAAATACTCACAGATACTGATATCCCATCAGTTGGTACAGCTTTGGATGCGACACGTCCAGTAATCTATGTATTTCCTGGTTATGGTGTCACCTCGCAATCATGTGCTCTATTCACTGTACAAGGATTTACAGCTCTATTGAGTGGAAGTTATACAACACAAACATTACCGAATTGGTGGCCAATGGTTAAACATTTACCAAAGTAAGTACATAATTAACTCTTGATGTGGTTAACGTAAACACAATCTCTAACTACTTATATTTATTAGTAGTATATACCCTTTTAACTCGTTTGTTTGCCTTCTTCATTATTATTATTTATGGTTTAAAGCAGATCAAGTGTATTGTGATTTAAATGTTTTCAGGTTTCAGTATGGATATTGATATTGATTACACTTGCTAAGCACACCACACGTGTTCTTACTTATTCCTTTACCTCACTTAGCCGATAGAGTAAGTCCCGGTAGGTAGAGAGGGAAGGTGGTTAGGCTAGGTGAGGCTAGGCTAGCAATGCCACCACCCTCCGATTCGAATTATCTCTCACACTACTCTCTACCCAGGGAGTCATGATATACCAACGGATGTTAACACGAACATTTTTTCATCCCATAGCGCCATTCATAGACTGACCACTTCTCTGCTTTTTCTCACACAGTTCGAGCGAGGCCCAGCAAACAGCCAGTAATGGTATTTTTTAAATTATTTTTATTCCTTCACGTGCCGAGTGGAATATAGAGGCTTCAAGCTACAGGCTTGAAGTTTCGGTTGCAGTGGCTTTATTTGTTTTTACGGGATTAGGTTACTAGCCTCACCTGGTCCAACCTTCCCTCTTTACAGGTCTAGCGAGGTTTAAGAGTGCGTTGGCCGGGTATAGGACCATTCATCACTTATGTGGCTGGCAAGCATTCTAACACTGAATCACGGACATACAATAACAATAATAAGACTACTACTAATAATAAAAATAGCCTTATTCTAGACAGTGTCTATATAATGTACAGAATTTTCAGCGGATATGATTGCATAATAGTTTCCGTTTGCCCAGCATCTTCAAGTAGAGTAGTAACACTGATAGTAAATCGCGTGTTACATCAGCTTTTGACCTGTAGGGAAAGAAAATGTATGTGATATTTCTTCTTTGCCTCTCTCTCCTTCTAGAAATGCACAACATTTGGTTGAGAGCCAGTTAAGAAAGGGGTGGGACATAATAATAATAATAATACCTGAATACTTGAAGACCGCAGGGAATTGGTTTTGTTGTCAAGGGATTGGCAGTTTATACTAAAATCTCAGGGATAATTGTAACCTTTCTTCCTTTTGATCTGAATCCTGCTATCATTATCCTGCAGAAGGAGATTGGTTCCTACTGCTGTTGGTGACATCATGATCACCACTCCCTCAGTGTACTCATGGGTGTTGTCTGGATGACCGGAGTAGATTATTGAATCTCCAGTTCGCAATTTGCATAGTCTACCTGCTATTGTAGATTCCTAGCACCTTCATTCCGTATCTTCTCATTTGTTTGGAAACCTGGTCAGTCTTTCCAACTTCGTACATTGTACGGACATTCCGCGTCCCCGTTCTTAGTTTTGCTATCATCGAAAGAAAGTACACTGGGTGATTTACTTCCCGGAGGTTTTCACCAGCTTGCATTATTTCGTCGCTCCAATCCCAGCAAGAAGAATATGTTTGGTTTTTTATATTTTTCTTGTCCGTTGAATTTCCTGTAGCACTGTGATCGTTTTTCTGGAGTAGGGTCGCCAACCCTACGCCCAGCCCTCCTTCTTTTCCTGGGCTTGGGGCTGGCTGGGAAACTAGATGAGGTGTATAATACGGGTACTCTACTTATTTTTCTTTTGATGCTTTATAGATTGGATGCTGCCCTAATTCCTGATTGGTCAGCATCAAATATTCTAACGTATCGTTTTATCGAGGAGGCTTTAAAATCTGGCCAAAATGGTAACCAAATATTTGGTGAAATCTTAATGCCGCCCAATGTCAACTCTTCCACGGATTCCCTTTCCGATATATCTTCTGGACTGATTTTATCTCCACCGACCAGTCTTTCCGGAGCACATCATGGAACATGGGCTTCATCAGCTAGTATGTCAGGCGATTCAATCCCCCCTTCTCTTGTGCTCTATTCAAAATTAGGCTGGGGTGAATTAAAACTACAACCGTTATCCCTACGATGTGGCCTTTTACTTATGTGGGAGTCAAGTGTACACGGCATTCCATCACAACACCCACTGTGTATTGCTATCCCGTCTGTACAGCCGGCTAATTCGAATCCAGTACAATGCCTTACTCGATTGATGAAAGCACTGTGTCAAGTGCCACAACTCTCAGGTCCACCATCATCATCTAACCGTACTGGTAGTGGAAAGTCAATTGTCAAATCTGCAGTGAAACAACAGGCGGCAACACGAACGTCACTCATACGCTCAACGTAAGTTTTTCTCTATGTAATTACCTTATATCATTTTTGTTTTGATCTTATCTGATTTTGTAAAGTTAATAGTGAATTTAGGTCTGCATTCTCATATTCTCCCTGTCTACTAGTGCCGTGATACTGCATACAGTCGAAGTATTTTTCTTCAGTCGTCAGATTAAGTGTAGACGTCTTCATCTTTTTCTTGAAACACCTGACTGCTGCAGGGTCCAGGCGCATCACGCCGACTACAGTCCTCAGGAGAGTAAGTCGGGGCGTACAATTTTCGCGGTCACTCTTCTTCAGTTCCTTCTCCCCAGAGTTGTGCGACAGAATAGAGCTAGCTTGTTAGTTGTCTAAAGTGAGCACTCTACTGCTGTTACATTCCATATTCACCAGCAGTAAGAGTTCATCCTCAGAGACAACGTCACATAGCGTAAATCTGTCTAGACTATAGGACTTGTGAGGATTTCGGATTAATGTCAACTCCTAGATTTTCGTCACAAACCAACTTCAATTAGAGAGATCACTGAAAATAGCCGTTTCATCCCATTTTGGAACTCTTCATCAGCTCACTGAAGGCATTGGTGAGGACAGTACTATATCAAGAGTTTAAGAAGTTAGGACTAAGGGTGGCTAAATAGTCAACGACCTTGGTCTTGTAACCTGGATGACTCCCGTTCGATTCCTGGAGTTCGAGTCCTTTCTCATCGACTTCAGCCTTGCCAAGTGGATAACATCAAACACACACACACATATATGAACAAAATAAGTGTACTTTATCGTCTGCTTGCTGAGTTCTACATCAGAGTAGACAAAATAGTTTTGCTCATTCATATTCACAATTGATTTTTCTAATTTTTCTTTTTGACTCCATTTTCTTTTTACTGTTAAACTGTATTAACAGTTTTTATCGTTACCCTCCCCCCTCCCCTTACATGGATATGTACGCTTGAGTTAACTGAGAGCAGCATCTCTATCCCTTCTTTGAGACTTTATACGCGCATACATGTAGTTAATTAATAACTGCCTAACTAACAATTCAATGAAGATGTATAACATGAAAAGTAGTCAGCATTTATCATGTTGTTGTTTTTTGCATCTCATTCTTTTTTTCCTATTCTTTTTTACCCCCGTCCCGGTTGGTGTTGGTTTTCCCCCCACCCATTTATATTGAAAGGATTTCCGTTCCCATTCTTTTTACCTATCTCCCTCTCTCTCTCCTACAAAAGTATGCAATGTGGTGATGAGTACTCACTTACTTAGTACTTACTTACTGGCGGCTCTATCAGGAACACTCTTCTCCTCACCCTACCCCAACCAAACTCGCCCCTCCCCCCCAAAAAAATGTCACTTTCATTTGCTGGTGTGTAAATCAGATGATAGATAATCTACTTCTACTCCATCCAGTACACAGTGTATCGTTGGCAAGATTATTGAATCATCCGATGCATTAATCATTTCAGAAATAGAAATAGAGAGAGAGAGTTAAGCTTGATAAATTATTTGTCTGTGTACTGAATATAATCCAGCCATCCTGTTAACAATAAATGATTATTGTATTCTAAGTCTGTGAATGGAAGTTGGTTAGGGGTGGGGGAGGTGATTGTCCCCGGCTGGGAAATTACATCGACTGAGATGGTTAGGACATGTGTTACGTATGCCTAGTCATTGCCTTCCTCGACCGATGGGCAATGTTAGCTGACATAGAGTCAGGCTGGGAAAGAGCTAGCGGCGGTCAAACCAAAACATGGTGGCACCAGTCAATGAAATCCACAATAGTTAGTTTAAGCTATGTAGGAAGGTGTAGACTGGCTTCCTGGTTGGGGTCTTCGGGACGATAAACACCAATGACGGCTAGAGACAATTGGTGATATGGCTCAAACTCATCGTTCTCAATGGCTGGCGCAGATGCATCCACTCTCTGTGACTTATAATTTCCAATTTAACTATATTGTTCTTCTATATTACTATTCCTTTGTCTCATACCCCTGTCTACTGTCTCTCATATGCATTTCTCGTACTTTCTTCTCTTGGTTTGTGTGCTACGTGGAGGGAGCGTGGCGATTTGAACTGATAGACATCGGTGCAAAGTTCTACGTCAAAAACAGAGATTGTCCCAAAATGTGATTTACATTCATCTGTGGTTGGTTTTTTAAGATGTAATACTCCTTTCTGTCTCTAAGCTGGTTGAACCTTTGAGAGGAGGCTGCATCAATTGAGTGAGACGGATGTATCATGTATTGTTACGCATGGAACATCCTCGTCTTTCTTATCGAACAGTGTTGTTAGCTAATATTGAATTGGGTTGGAAAACAGTTATTATTATTATTCCCTTGGGTTCCTAGTGGACCACACTACTTCAACAGTACATCTCTATTTTGGCCTATTCTCTGTGGTCCACGATTGTCCGTAGCCTCTGATCTCCTCCATGTGTCACCATCACACCCACACCAACACCCAACTCGTCGTTTCCCAATCGGGTTCCACTCGAACGATGGCCTGACAAGCGCGATGTCATTCGATGGTTTTCTCAGTGTCATGTGTCCAATCCTCCTCCACTTTCTTATACATATTTGTTGAGCAATTGGTTCTTGTTTGTTGGTTTATTCCCAGAGTTCTCCGCTGCTATTTCTTTCCAGCTGGCCATTTTGTCTTCAATATGTAGTCAGCGAAGGTGGCAGCTGTTGATGAAAGTGTGCATACGTGATGATGATGATGAAGAAGAGGGTTGCTGACTGACTATGAGTAGTACCTCTGTTCAGTCTCTTATGTTAGGTGGTGGTCAAAGAAGGCTCGTTTTAGAAGTAGGAGTTTTTGAAGTTTCAGTGTTTCGAAGATGGAGAGGGGGCCTTCCGGGTGACTGCAGGCCTCCTTAGGGAGAGTTAGTCAAGTCGACTTTGGGGAGGATGAATTTTATGAACTCCCTTCTCCTGCTGCTCCTCCTCAGTGCAGGAATTCAGCTTATTTGGCTTGCAGATCACCGAAGAGAAACACTTTCTTACAGCAGTACGATTTTGTCATCAGGATTGATGAAATTTCAAAACTCGATAGACTGGTTCATCTACTCTACTCACGAATGTATGTCAGATCCCCTCATTTTATTTCATGCCATTAACTCCATTCACTGCAAATGAATGACAATGTTATCCAAACATTTGTGAACGAATACGTGAACTCTTAGAAAATAATCATCTTCATTTGTGTCCTGCCTCCACTACCAAGCTAGAGATTCGATATACTCAGATTTTGATTACTACTCATTTTAGCGATCGAAGATTTCTTCACTGATCGAAAGCAGCTAGGGATCATTGAGAAGTATTAATTAGCACTGAACAGTTGTTTCGTCCTAGTTTGCAACTCTTCGGTAGTCGAGAAGGGGTTTTCTCTTAGCCTACCGGTAATCAAACAGAAGAACTTCAGGTTATAAAACCAATCTGTTTACGATTGAAATGAAGCGAAATCCCCACAAAAATTTACCAGTATAAAGATGGACAAGTTCACATGTTTGAATTTTATGGAATTGAGTTCCAAATGCCATTAAGATAGATCTGTAATAGAACCAGAACAATTAAACATATTTCACCTGACGCTGTCATAACACGTACAATCTGTTTTCATCCAATACGTCTTTATTACCTCTGATTGATTGATTGATTGATTAGTTTAACGGGTCGATTTATTGCTCCACACACACACACACACACATAGAGAGAAACTCACATTCTATTTTGTTTTGTTTTATTGTTTGAGATTTGCTCATATTCATTCATGTTACTATGCCTTTTATTACATTATCCGAATAGAACCACTTTGCTTTGCTTTCCTATCGATTAGTTTACATGACACCATTATAAATAATAATAATAATTATTATTATTATTTCTCTCTCTCACGCGCGCACGCGCTCTTATTATTATTATTATTATTTAAATGACTCATCATGTCAATTTCTTTCTATTATAACTTTCATTATTAGTTTTACATTTGTGCGTGTATGTGTGTTTGTGTATGTGGGTGAGTGAGTGGACACGTAGATGTTTACGTGTGCACGTGGGCGTACGCGTGCGAATGTTCATCTGTTTGTTTGTCTATTGGTGTGTGTGTGCGTCTATTTTTCTATCTATAAGCATCTATCTCTTCACATTTTGAATTAATTGGTCAATTGATTTTTTTTCTCATTTATTTCAAAATTTAAATATTTTGCTAGTTATTCATTCAATTATTCATTTATCTAGTTCGTATTATTATCTGGAAAATAAAAACAAACAAACAAACAGAACGCGAATGGAATGTTTCGTTTGTCTTTCTTTTTTTGCTGTATTTGTGTGAGTGTGTGTTCTACCTGTTCCCCCCCGTCTCTCTCTTTCTCTTTCCCTTTTGGTCTCCTGTTTTCTATCTTTGCATTAATTAGTTGTGTAGTGTTGATTGATGTGATTCGCTTCTGTCAAATGTATGTAGGATGAGATGGTACCTACAGGACTGGACTGGACTGGACTGAACTATATCGACTCGTAGCTTAAAGATGATAGGCAGTAGTCTGGCATAGATGTGATATCCAACTGCCTTGATCATAGGTGTTTGCATCCTATCGCCTGTGTTAGGTGGTATAATAAGGTGAGCAATATTGAGTTGGTTAGGCGTAGAATGCTATGTAGGTGGGAAGGGAAATCAATCGACGAGGCTGTGAAGTAGATGCATCGATTGAGAAAGATGGTTAGGACATATGTTACTTGTACACACCGAGCCATCACCTTCCTCAGCCGGAAATCGCAGCTGACATAGGATGGATCAGGTTGGAAAGGCGTTAGCTAGTGGTGGTCAAACGAAAACATGCCTTCATCAGTCAATGAAATCCATAACAGTTAGTTGAAGCCAGCCAGCCAGTCAGGCATGTAGGCAGGTGTAGACTGTGTGGCTGGTTGCGGTACTCGGGATGTAAGAGCCAATGACTTCTGGAGGCAGACAATTGGTGATATGGTTCAAACTCATCGTTCTCAGTCAATGACGGTGCAGCA